ATAATGCTTTTAGATTCTTGGATATGTTTCGTAATAAATATTGCACATTCAATGATGATATTCAAGGTACTGCATCTGTCGCAGTTGGTGGTCTTCTAACTTCACGTCGTTTGACTAAAAGACGTATTTCAGAATCAACATTTTTATTTTTGGGAGCAGGAGAAGTAAATATAATTTGTTTATTGATTAATATTCTTTAATATAATTTTTTTCTATTTAATATTCAGGCAGCTATTGGTATTGCAAATTTAACTGTACGAGCTATGTTAACTGAGGGGTGTTCATTAGAAGAAGCACGTAGTAAAATATGGATGATGGATATTGATGGTCTTTTGGTAAAAGATCGACCTGAAGGAAACTTACAAGGTGATAAAGCATTTTATGCTAAAGATCACAAAGTTATGAAAAGTCTCCTTGAGGTTGCCAAGGAAATAAAACCAACTGTGTTGATTGGTGCTGCCGCGGCAGCAGGAGCTTTCAATAAAGATGTGCTGGAGCATGTTGCTTCTTATTGTGAAAAACCCATTATTTTTGCTCTTAGTAATCCAACGGCAAAAGCTGAGTGTACTGCTGAGCAAGCGTACACCCACACTCAAGTAGAATACAGGAAATAAAATAATGTATGCAAGTTATATAAAAATCATAACATTTTAGGGCCGTTGTATTTTTGCAAGTGGTTCACCGTTCCCACCTGTTACTATAAATGGACGTACAATTACACCTGGACAAGGAAACAATGCTTATATATTCCCTGGAGTAGCTCTTGGTGTTATCAGTACTGGAATACATCATATTACTGAAGATTTATTTTTAATAGCTTCACAAGTATATAAATTACCATCTAAATTTTGAATTTAATATGGAACAATACATCATTAATTTTCAATTAAATTTAGGAATTGGCTAATTTTGTTACTGAAGAAGATTTGGAAAGGGGCAGCATTTATCCTCCACTAAATTTGATTAAAGATTGTTCTTTACAAATTGCAATCAAAATAGCAGAATATGCTTATGAAAAAGGTAACAAAAGTTATTTTAATTTGAACCATTATAATAACTAAATTATTATTATTTAGGAATCGCGTCCCATTATCCAGAGCCAAAGGATAAAAAGAAGTTTATTGAATCACAGATGTATGATTTTAACTACGACAACCCACTTCCACCAAAATACAGCTGGCCAGAAGAAACTGAACCTATAAAATCCAAATCTATTCATGATCTTACAGGAGATCACCTTAAAAAACACTAAGGTTATTAATCACAAATTCAAAAATAGTTGAAAACATTTTATCAATTTCAAATAATTATAATTCAGTATTTCTATTTAATCATTTTAACAGTATTCATAACATCTAGTCAACATTATTATGTTAACTACTAACCTTAAAGCTTTTATCTTGAAAATTTTCAATTTAGATACGTTAATTAAATGTTAACTTTTATTATACATATAATCAAAAAGAATATGTAGGCTCCTAAATTTTTTATTATTTAGATAATATTAAATAAGTGTTGTAAAACATTACCTTTTGTAAGTTGGTTATAGATATTATTAGTTATTTATTTATAGTGGTATATCATGACTTAACCATTAGCTCTAATTTGTCAAAGATTAATGTATACAACTTAAATAATACAGTGCATTATGGTGATACAAAAAGTATTTACAACAAATTACTACTTTTGTATACTTAATATTATTTAAGTGCAATAAATAAAATCATTCGGTATTAATTTATTGTATATAAAACAAATCTGTTATTAGCAAGTAAACAGTTTTATGTTTTTATATTCATTGTTATGTAACTTATTTTTAAATAACCATTAGATGTATTTGCAATAAAATTGTATAGCTGTAAAATTATTTCCTTATTATATCTGATGTATAGTCATCTCCTTAACTCTTAAGATATCTAACTATTAAATTAGTTAACTTTGTTTCTTCTTGAATCGGCACATCTATAAAATTAATAATTATACTTAACTAATTTAAAAACACTGACTTTTTTTATTTCAATATTTATAGATAATATATTTGTTATTTTAAGATTTTACTTTTTAATATTGTAATGATATTTACATACAGTGTCTTCAGTTCAGTCAGTCTTACTGCTAGCACAATAATTTTAAATAGGCCCTTATAAAGAGATAGATCTATTAATTTTGGCTCCAATACAAATAAAAACAACTCAGAAGCTATTTTTGGGTGGACCAGACACCCAGGTCTTAGATTGACACTGTTTAGTGTTTACGGTCATTAGTAAATATTTATACACTAATGCTGCAATTTCAAAAAATATATATTTAATATAATAGTACTTCCAAGTTATAATTGTAAATTAGTTGAGACAAACTATAATTAATTTAGGAAAATACTCATTTATAAGCTTATACATTATTCTTTTAAGAAATTATAATACTTGTCATCTGATTGGCAGTATTGTAAAGAATACTTTTATTTTGTATTCGGAATACATATTCAAATGAATGAGAATTAAGGTATTCAGAATACGTATTCTAATAGTTCTTAAAAAATATATTCAGAATACTATTAGAATACTTTTTTTCAGAACATGTTTTTGTCAGTTTTTGAATGGTTGGTAATTAATTAATAATTAAAAATACATCGTAATCATAAGTTATTTATACATTTTGACCACTTATGATACGTCCGATATGGGCCACACGAGATACAACACATACATTGGAGTTTATAAAAATAATCATGGCCAATATTATATTTTGTTCAAAGAATAAAATTAATGTTCATGATTTATAATATGTCTTGTCACAAACTTGAAACAATTTTTCTGGGTAGGAAAAGTATTTTTTTAATGAATAAAAAATACAAATAAAAGTATTAAGAATACGTAAATAGTATTTAAATACTTTTATTCCAATACTTTACAAAACTGCTGATTGGTAATCAAATATTTCATAAATTTTTGTTGCTGATCTTGTGGTACCGTAGAAGTTCAAGATTTGGTTTTCCAACAACTGTAATTTTGAAAATACAAACCCCTAATTAATATTATGAACCCATCATAAAATATTTTAGAGTACATTCCCTAATTGCTCAACTGAGCAGTAGTAAGTAGTAACATAATACCTATAGTATAGTGTATAGAAATTCATTTAAATAGAAATAAAAAAATCTACTACAGGGAATTATTGAAAAACAAATTTAGTTTAATGATGGGTTACTCAACAAAGTGACATAATATAACATATAAGTAATGTAATCAGTGATTTCTCTTTTGATAAAAAAAAAATGTAATAGTTAATATAATTGGTAATTTATAAAATATAGAATGTAGGATAATTTCCCACAGTTAATTTTAATTAATAATTATTGTTAGTCTGTCAAAGAGACGTATTTTCAATGATCAATTGCATTAAAATATACATATTATATAATTATATGGAAATATTTTGAAATTTATTCCGTTAGACATTAGACAAAAAAAATCATAATTTTAAATTCAATAATTCAATTACGTTTTTAAAAAATATGGGAGGGGGGAAATGTCCTATTCCACCGAAAAATTACGTTTGGAAATTGTCCATTTACCGTACATATATTATGATTAAATTATGTACACAATACATATCACTACATTTGTAATGTCTGGTGTAGGAATGACACATTCAATACTGTGCATTGACTATTTAATTGTTTCATCTTATACTCATTAAGGTGAGAGACGGGCTACATTGACAGTTGTGAAGCGAGTTCGTAGTCGTTACTTATCGTAACCACACGGATTTTAATAGATTGATGATGCGCAATTTCAACATTTGACTTGGGGGGGGGGGCTGAATATATAAAGGCATATTAAAATTGTATGTAGTAGGTTTTTGGGGGGCTACGGCTAAGTTTGGGGGCTTAGCACTCCCAAGCCCCCCTGTAATTTGCGCCTATGGATGCGTCGGTGGCGCGTATTCGATGAGCCGATCGGTCTGTCTATCCGGCTTAGGGATGGGCGTTTGTCGAACCTTTCAATACCTACTTGCGTGTTAGATAAAAATTGTCTAGATTTTATTAGCCCTGCCGTGCCAGCTATTTCGGCGACCTTCGTTGTTTGCATGTTGCCTATTTAAAAATAACTGCTTGTTGCTTAAACAGTTAATGTCGATCATTACATTATAAAAATGTAAATAAATTTGACACTATCATCATAATTATTAAAAGATCCTAACTGTGTACGTTTTATTTTGTGCTTTTGAAAAATATCTTTTAAGCATAATTTTTTTATGAGAAATTTGTCTGGTGATAATCGGTATTCGGTTGATTTCATTTGTTTTACATGCTGCACATAGGTCTGTTTCCGGTTCGGAGACGATTATCTTTAGTCGGTTTAAATATTTAATTGAATTCAATGAAGAAAATAGGAGTCTTCTAGACTCTAGCTCGTCCTCTGTGCGATCTATCGAGAATTTGAAACATTTCGAAACTAATTGCACAATTTTTTCACCGATAAATGATAAATCCCATGTATCGTCTCCTGTTCGCCGGTAGTCTACGGCAACCACAGAACGAAGGTACGGCAAACACGAATTTCAAAGTGCCGTGACGTCGGCGTAACGATTTTTCGCCCGTCTCCAGGGTCGTCCCGCTTCTGTAAGGGTGGGGGCGGCAAGCGCGCGCATGCACGCTCGCACGACAGTGCAGCCCGCGAACGGCGTTGTGATAGGTGTGAGTGAGAGACACCGTCGGTGGGGATAACGCCGGCTACCGACTGACTGTAGGTGCGATTTCCTTTCACCGACGTCCGCAACCGCTGATATACCGAAAACACCGGGAGCTAATCCGCCGTGTCCCGTGTCACCACTCACCAATCACCACGGTACGCAAGCAATTCTCGCGTTCCCGTTCAATCGACTGCCGACGTCCGTGCCAGCACGTTCACCGCCGCCGCCGCCGTAGTCACTCCGCAACTCTGGGTTTTTCCGTATCCAAGTGTCCGGCTCCACAGTCTTGCACCGCCGCCCGCGAAATGTCATCGTCCGACCGTTTGGGACAGTATCCCCAGGGTTCCGCCCTGTCCATATCGCCGGCCACCGTCAGCGGACTGGATCAGCTGAGGGATGGACGACTGAACAAGGTATGAAACGCATCGGTATTTTTTTTATTTTATTTCCACTCTTTCCTTATTTGGTTTCGAGACGGTTTTGAGTCGATGTTTTTTTTTTTCGCAACCATCAGACAAACGATGATTCGTCACGTTACGTCTGGCGAAAAGGAGGTCGCTTCGGTACACGCGGGGATTGCGCGAGTTGCGCGTTTTTCGGCCGCGGGAAATTCAAAAATTTAACCCACTAGTGATACAGTTTTAGTCACTACTTACCTGCGCCCAAAGACCGAAAATAACTATATAGACACACATTGCGTTGATACATGTTATGTGGATCTACCACATTTTTGTATTTTATTTTTATTGAACGTTTTGAAGTGTGTATTCAATTAAATATTAATTTGTTTAACTACCTATTTATTTCGTAATAATATTATACATTTTTTTTTCAAAGTTGAATTTAACTTATATTATTACTAATAAATAATATGTATTAGGTATTTTAGTACTTCCTAGTGACTGGTAATTTTCTAATGATATCAATTTGATTTTCAAATTATTTATAGCCTACCTACTTGTATATTATCAATTATTCTTATTAATTTATCATTACTTAAGGAATATTTGTCTTTTAAGTACCAAATAAAATTATATTTTAATTATTTTCGTAAGGTAGGTAGGTAGATAACTAATAATTTAAAAAAGTAATTGTATCAAGTAATTATAATTTACCTACATTAAAAAAAAAAATAAAATTGTCTGTATCTATCTTAGGAGTTATTTGGTAAAAAGAAATTATACAAATAGGTAAAAATTATATTTAAATATATTATATTATTATATAGGTATTTATTTAATATTTATTAAAAATTATGATTATAAACTAACAATATTATTAGGTAGGTAGGTACCTACTACCTATATATTGACTACCTACATAGAATAAATAAAGAATTTTTAATATATGCCTTAATTAATATTTTTAGGTAAAGTATTAAAGGTAAAGTATATAATTAAATTCTGTTAAACCAAGAATGTAGCTTGCAGTTACCTATATAAGTAATACATTTTCCATCAACAAAATATATTCTTTAAAAATGTTATTTTTATTTACACACTTTTGGTATTATAATAACCAGAATAATAACTATTACCTATTATTTGTTTTTAAACATTTTTAGGACTAGATAGTGTACTTTATATACTTTATTAGTAGCTATAAATTATAATATAATATCAAGTAGGCACTTAATGATTATGTATAACAACTCTTGATAACAAATTCAATGTTACGTGCATTTGTTATTGAATTACTTTATTAGTTCAAATATAATTAATTGTCATAATTTAAATTTATATTAAAAATTTTGAAATACAAATATTTATTTTAAAATCTATATTGGCAATTATATATTTATATCCATTATAATTGACTATCATTATTTAAAATTTTAAATAATAATTATATCATTTGTTAAATACTCTGTGTAGCAGTAAATATGTATTTGAATTAATGGAAAAAAAATCCTATTTGAATACCTACTCAATATTTATTTAAATTAAAAATTTATTTGTATAGTTAATTTTTTTATAATGACACATTTGATTGGATCCTAGGAAAAAAAATTGGTTCATTCAAACTATTAACTTTATAAAATGAATTAATATATTCTGCCTACATATTATACAACTTAGTATAAAATCCATATATTATACCCAGGTATTTTTATATTATATATATAAATAAATAATTTTTAGCATATGACATTGGCCTGACCGAAGCTTATTCAGTTATTCCTAATATAAATAAAAAACAATTTAATATATAAGTAATCTGTGGTAGTTTATATAAATTATAATTGAGCAAATATGAATTTTCAGTTTTTTATTTTTATATTTTACAGAAGTATTCTGCATTAAGAATAAAAATACCAAAAAAAATTACTTAGAATACATAATTTAATATAATATTATATCGATGGCGTAGCGCACAAGTGTGATAAGTGACATTTTTTTGAAAAATGAGTTAAGTGCATAATCAATTTAATCATACAATTCTGCACATTATGCCCAAACGTTGTAAGTGAATAGTTCATTATTTACTCCGATAGATGTCGTACAGTTCGTTACATTTTTGAATTTGTTATAACATCTCAAACTTAAAAATCGTTCTCCTGAACAATTACGAAAATGTCACTTATCACACTTGTGCGCTACGCCATCGATATAATATATTTAAAGAAAAAAATGTATTTAGAATAGTATAGAATATAAAAAAATATTTTTAAACAATTTTATTTGAATACTTTAAAGGTCTGTAAATCCATAATAATGACAACTATATTTGTTTTATGAACTTGATTATCATGAATCCTACTTTGTAATAACTTGGACAACCTGTTATCTTGAAGGTCTTATATCAATTATTATACATTTTTTAAGGATAAAATAATTGCATATTATGCTTGCTTTATTTTATGTTATTGTAACCGCAAGAATGTGAATTATTATTTTTATATATTATGTTTGTACTAGGGTCAGAATATACAATTATTGTGGCTTAAAAAAAACCACAGAACTTGATATTCGTATTTTGGTAGATTGAGTTTATAAACTAGTTTGAAAAATAGGTCTTACCTTGTTTTAATTTTTTGTAGAATTTCTTAATGCTCGTTTTAGGGTAATTCATTCAAGAAATGAATTCATCTCAACTCTTAACTTCTTAAATTAATATAATTAATACTTAACACAAACTTAATAATTCAAATAGATGTAGTCTAACCAACAATGTTATAATATTCTATATTATAGATAAGTAAATTAGGATTCTAACTTTCTAATAAACTGTGATTTTGCTATCTTATTACTTAATTTGTTCAATTTAGGTACATCAATTATTTTTATTATATATACCTATTTACTAATTAAAGTATCTTTATATTTTTATAATTAACATCAATATTTAATAACCATCATATCATTATGGTAGAACTGTGGCATTGACATTGTATATTTATATAAATATTTTAGAATTTGCAATGAAGTATAATTAGTTAATTGCAAGTCATTCATGTTTCACGTCTATACAACAAAATACAATGCCATGTGTTCCGTGTTAAATTGATTTTCTAATGTATTCAATATATGACTACTTAGAGATACTTAATTTATAATGGCACGTTCATAGTAAGTTTATTGAAAATGTAAAAAATACCAAAATATTAAATAAAATGAATTTGTAATTTTCACGTCAAACTTGTCTTTCAAGCCTATTCAACATTCACATATTTAATGTGTACATTATGCCTAATGAGTTATGACTACATGAATTTAAATTTTACATCTATTAAACATATGAAAAGTTAACTAAGTTTTGATACAAGCACAAAGCATAACTAGTTACTAAACATATTAGGTATATAAGTTTATTTTACAATTATTATTTTCAGCTTTCAATAAATTTATTTAGTAATGCAATGTGTAAGAATCAAATTATATGGATAATTCTATAGATAATTTCTTAATTTGTGTTGTCCTTTTGATCAAATATTAGAAACGATTTATAAAATATATATTCCTAATGTATTGTTGATTGAAATTATAGAAATGTTATAAGTCATGATAATGCAATTTCCTGGTGAAAGTTATAAAAAAAAGACGAATGAGTATTTTTTACACGGTTAACGATCTTTTATAATAAAAATTGTTGGTGCGCATAAAGTGGTGTTAACCTGAATGAGAGTATAATATATTTTATTCTATATTATTATATTAATATCCAATTTTAAGTTAGTACATTTAACCTTCAAAGGTTTTTAGTCAGGTGCGGACTGAGATGCAGTCGACTATTAATGAAAAAAAAATTGGCCCTATACTATTACAACCTAAACTTTCAGTACTTAAATTTTGACTTTTGGTTACTCACCAATCACAATAAACTACAAGAGATAAATGTTTTTAAAATTAAAATCAACATAAATCATATATCATAGATAGAATATTGTAGACTGTAGAGTATAAATGTGAAACATAGATGGATCATTTTTAGTTAGATACACAATAATTTAAGAAATATTTAATCGTTTAAGTAGGTAACTCATAGTAAACTTATTTACAAAAATGTATTTATTTGTACTTAAAGCGATCGAACTTAATGATTTTTTGGCTACAGTCATTTTTATTTTTTTTACATATTTTCTAGTTGAAACAAATTTTTAATTTTTTCGTATTCTAAAGTAGCATATTTTTTGAAGTAGATACTTCGATATATTAAAATACAATTTTCGATAAGTAGTTGGATGTGTATGGGTTTATAATCACGGGCCTGAAAATAAATGACCTTAAAACTTTCCAAAACTGCTCTGAAAATAGTTAATTGTCATAAAAAATTAATTGATTTTAACAATTCTTAATCAAACAAAAATACGAACTTACGAAATAAATGCGATTATGGTGTAACACCAACTGACATTGGTCAGGTTATAACAGCCGTTAAACTGTAAATAGATAAAGTCGTTACCGACGTATCGAAATCATAAATACCTAGTATGATCGAAAAATTATGAATGGTCGGAACAAAATGTTTTGAACTAGGTACCAATTAAGTTCAATCTAAAAATATCATGAATGCACTAAAATTTACAATATTACCTTTTTTACTATTATCATTGCTCAAAAAACGCCAACACTGATAAACACGCAAAATAAAAGTTTAAGTTTTCAATTGTTTGATGTCTGAAACGGATTTTATTCTTGAAAAGCATTGCTGGTGACTTTCTAAAAAATAATGCATTTTGCATAAATATGCGGGCCCTTAGGTATAAGCAGGTATTTAAAGTTTATTTTAGTGGAGTGGATCATGTTGATCTATATACTACCAAGGTGTTCTAAATAGAAGAGGGCCTAAAAAAATCTTCAAAAATAATAATATACATTTATACCAGGTTGATTATTTTGTACCAGCCCGCCGCCTGGGTGACATAATATGACACCGGCCCACTGTACAATTTCATTGTAGCACAGTTGCACAG